TATCGTATTTGCAGTTTAGACAACGGAATCTATGCAGACAGTGAGTTGTCCAGGACGCTCAGCACTCGCTGAGTATATGTGGACAACTCGTAAGATTTACATATATTCGATATTTTGTTACACACGAAAACATGTCTTCAGCTTTAATTGGTGTGCTCGTTGATGCTCTAGCAGCATATGCCATTCATAGAATGTAACATGTTGATTGTAACACGCTAAATGGTGACATTAGCATTAGTCTTCATGTATACATTGCAATAATGGTACCAAACCAATAATATCATTTAATCTTATACAGTATGTGTAATGTCAAAATAAATTTTAGATCATCATTTTTGTTTTTAAAGCAACTTTGTTTTTATTCTTGGGTCTTTCGGTAAAGTCACGTGGATAGATTCAAAGAAAATAACAAAAAAATATTTGAACCTATCTACGTGACTTTACCGAAAAACCCAAGAATATGGATTCCTGCAGTCACGAAAGCTTTAAGTCAAGATTCAACTTTGTTTTCTTGAAAATACGGAGAGAAATGAGAATAGGTTTTTCCCCTTTTATCTGGCAACAAAACAGGTGTTAAGTTGTTAAAACACCAAACTGAAACCTTTTACAAGGAATCATATCTGCATTGAGCACAATACTTGTGGTCAGAATGCAAACAGAGACCAGTCAGTTTCAAAGACAATGCATATATTATCAGAGTATGTTTTTGTTTGCATTTTGACCGAAAGTATTGTGGTTAATGCACGCATTACTCCTTGTAAAAAGGTTTCAGTTTGGTGTTCCAACAACTTAACACCTGTTTTGTTGCCAGATTAAAGGGGAAAAAACAATATTTTCATATTTTGCTACTGGCAAAGGAGGTCCCATGATAACGGAGAGAAATGTTGCGAATATTATTAATTGGGCCATGACCACGGTTACCGTCAGTGGCAAGTGGGTGTCTGACCTCGGTCCTTGGCTTCTCTTCGCAAAACTGCACTGACCAAGCGTGTTGAGGTACGATCCAACACCCCCCCCCCAACAACGCCGAAGGGAAGGCACTGATTCATTCATCTCCAGCAGTGGATTGATTAAAAAGGCTGTACATTATTATTCCCATTACGTTTAGCAAGGAGATACTTTCGCCTTGTAATTCAAGGATATCGATGAAAATGTGGTCAATTTTTTAAATCACGTTATTCCCACCCGACAGCAACTTGCGCGCACAGCCCAGGGCATTTAACTGTGCGGGAAACATTCGCATGCAGCTAATTAATGTAAATGCCGTACAGTATTGGCTTCGTTGCCACTGGATTTAAGGTTACTGCAGTGGTGGGAGCTTCAGATGCGGGTGGGGGGGGGTGGAAATCAATGTTGTTTTCCTGCTTTCTCACCCATTTGCATCCATTGTCATTAGACAGGGTGGCCCAAAAGTCAGGAAAACATGTTTTATTTTAACAAATCACATCGGGTCAATTTAATTTATTTTCACAAATGTTCAAACTGACTACCATTAACATTAATGCCTTGCGTGAATTCTCTTTTGCAATGAATTCAGGACTCCTTTTTGTTTTAAAGAGCACAGCTGCCTGCTTTAGCAAACGTAAAGACGACTTGTAAATTTGTTTGTCTTCTTCAGTAGAGTCTATTTACATTGTTAAATGTCATCCGAAAATGCAGAAGAAAAATAGATATTAACTATTATTAATAGAAGAAATATGAACTTGAAGAATAAACGATTAGAATGTTATGCCAGTGTTAACATGAATTAACCATATGTGTTCCTGACTTTTGGGCCACCGTGTAAATTATTATTATTATTCGCTTGGGTAATTATTTATAAGATGTTTGGTTATTCTTTGGTAGAGTCAAACTGTTCTTGTCCGTGATAGACGTTCCCCATCTAGGTGAACAAAATAATAGACGTGATATCATTCTGTTATCCGTGACAAAAAACTCTTCGTGTCTATGACCTCATATCCACCACATCATAGGTACTATTATGAAGGGAGCCCCCAATTCCGATACATGTATGTATTCCCGAGAAAAAAAAAATCCTGCTAACCATTAGAGTTATTTGTGGCCAGTTACAACACCAGTAATCTACAACACATGCAAATAATTTCCGCATTCGTCCTGAGCGTTGGACACGTTTAATTTTGAATACATTTAATTTTAAATCTTGACTTAATGTTTGCCCGTCTCGGAAGGGCTGACAGGAGACCTCAGCAGGCAGTGGTGGCCCGTGACTCTGATGGGGCAGTGGTGGCTCTGGTGGGGCAGTGGCAATGCGGGCAGCAGACCAAGGGACGGGGTGGAGTCAGCGCGGAAGGCACCTTGCCATGGGCACCAACTTACCGGCTACGGCTCTGAATCCAACATCAAGGGTTTTAAAAAGATCAGCGTGTTGTGGTACAGGCTGCGTGTTTAATGCGATATTAATTCAAATCGCGCTGGACAGTCGTATTCAAACGTTGTGGCCACAGCAAGTCCGCAGTTATGAAAGTTGTTCTAAGACTACAAACATGAACCCAAGCTGAGCTTTTGCCCGTCACCAGAGAACACAGAGCTGAGTGTGAAGTTGAAACTCCACCGTGTGTGCCCATTACTCACGGCGTCATATCTGTGCTCTTCTTAATATCCTTCATTCCCACAAAAGTTACGGATAATAAGATGAGTGCTTCTTGGATAGGCCATCCCCAGCTGATAATGATTGAGAAGAGCGATGCACTTAGTGTGATACCTTTGCAACAAAGGCATCAGCAGGAGAGGGGGGGGGGGGGTGCTTCCACTCTCCCCCTGCCCCCCACCGGTTTGACAGCCCAAAAGTTGGCATCCTGAATATATTGTTACTCATGGGTAGTTGCTCGATCCGCCTCTGAACACAGAGATTGAGTGAGTGAATTTGAAATAAATGATGCCCGACGTGCGGATAGAGAGGCGTGTGTGATTGGTCGTGCCTGCCTCCGTCTCCTTCAAACTCTTTGTTTGCCCCCACCACCCCCGCAATCCCCGATTAGCGTGGTTGTCTACGTACGGTGCGAAAGAAGTTCCACATACACAGATACGTACGTACGTGGCACCGAGTCGACATTCCCCAGTATGCACCCTGACTGCAGCGCTCTTTGCTACTCTGACTCCCGGCAGAAAATTCATATAACTCACTGCACCCAGGCACCGCAGTAATATTTACCAGTATTGCCATTTTATGATATTACGGCATTAAATATGTATACAACTGTACATGGACACTGAATCAGAGGTTGTTGTAATATACAGCCATGCCTTGTGGGTCCCACAAACCTGACTTATCATCGCTGCAATATCGTTCATAATAAGGCCTACGTGTCATTGCTTCAATATTGAAATACAGATGCAGTCTCCGTGGCCGGATTCATTCAGGGCCTTTAGGGGTTGCAGCCCATGGCTTTGGATATTTAGGGCCCCCGAAAAAAAACGTACCGCGTGCTTTATAATGGTTTAAATGTAATTCTGCAGCACGTTGGCAAATGCTGCGGGTAGTTTGGCAATTACTAATAGTTGTGTCAACGTGAAAATGTATTCGTTTGAACTTTGACTTAGCCCAAACAATTAGCAATTCACATCTAGAAACTGGAACTGAAATAACCAAGCTAAATATCACTCGAGTGTTTGGCTTTAGCACGGTTGGCTCCGCATGGTGCGAAATAAGTTCAACGTACATACAAACAACGGTCATCGATGGTGGTAAAATGATCAATGGGAAGGAATTGAATAAACACTAAGGGCCCGCCTCAAACTAAAACCTCCTGAAGCCCCCCTCAGACTGAATCTAAACCTGGCCATCACTGCAAGACTCGGTATAAGGTATTTTCATATGATGCATCTTTTCCTTCTGTTATTGTACACGAGGTAGAGATATGCTCATGTGTATCTTATGAATGTTGTCCTGAGAGATTCGCGCGGGGTACACAGTTCTTCGTTTAAGTGAGAATGCTGATTTGAAATATTAAGCAATTCCATGCAACACCTCCAGCTGGAATTCTGAATGATGTAGAAAATGATAATTTTACAACATTCCTTGGGCTTCAAGCATTCTTTTGCTTTATGAAACCAAAAAAGCCACTTTAAAAATCATGCAATTATAATAGATACTTTATATGATATTAGCATTGCAATGATTGCATTCGTTCAGTTACGTTTGCCTTCATCACCCGTCTTGCTTGACTACTAATCAGCTCCTCCGCTGTAGCCTCACCAATTCCCTCACCTCACATTGCAGATGGTTCACAATGCTGCAGCCAAATGTCTCACCCATGTGCATGTGAGTATGTTGAACTTTTGCCCTGCACGTAGCCAACCGTGCTAATCGGAGGTGCGAGGGAAGGACAACAAACTAAATTTTGATTTAAAGCTTTCGTGACTGCAGTGATTCATATTCTTGGTTCTTTCGGTAAAAGTCACGTTGAAGGGAAACAAAAAAATAATTAAAAATATATATATATATCAAACAATAACATTCTCACGACGTTTCGACTGCAACACAAGCAGTCATCATCAGGTGTGAAAACCACCACTTCTTTCAAGTGTTCATGCCGTTGGTTTTCACACCTGATGATGACTGCTTGTGTTGCAGTCGAAACGTCGTGAGAATTTTATTGTTGTATATATATTTTATCATTTTATTGTTTCCCTTCAACGTGACTTTACCGAAAGAACCAAGAATATGACAACAAACTAAATGCGAAAAGCAGTTCAAAGGAAATGAGTTTTCAATCTAGATGTGAAAGTGGATAGCGCCAGTGGCTTCCCTATATTGGAATGAAGAGCGTTCCAGACGGCCGCAGAAGCGCATCTGAAAGCACGCGATGCGGTGACCGTCTTTGTTCGCTGGCTCGTAGATCTCACCCCATACCCACAGGCATCGCGACATGTGTTCTCACATACCTCTACCGTGGCTCCCATTCCATCCATTGATCACGAATCAACAACACGGCTACCCTCAATGTCTTCCAAACGCTGCGCCAGCTTGTGGATCTCACCTCATACGCCGATCTTATCCGTGCAATCGACTTCAACAGCCGAGCCCTTCTCTCAAATCCTTCCATTGGGGGTGGCAGGACGGCATCAAGGGCCTGTGTACGATCCCCGACTCGGGCACCTTTCTGTTCCCTCTCCCCGTTCTCCATGGGTTTCCTCCGGGTTTTCTGGTTTCCTCCTGTAGTTGAAACAAACAAACAAAAATCATACAATGTAACTGGTATTTGACAAACATCCCAATGCTGAAACATTACCTGCAAATTACTCACTGGCAAAACGCGTAGCAACATTGTACCCGACTGCAAAAATCTGGCAGGACCCCCCCCCCCCCCCCCCCCGCGCTGAAAAATAGTATTGAGAGCCGGCGAGGCTTTTCTGCTGGGTAAAGTAATAATAGATAATAAATCAGTTTTGACTCTACGAGAAATGACTCTTGGTGGGTGCATCCCCACTGCGCAGACTTCTCAGGTTGTGCAGAGATTGCTGACCGCTTGTTGCTGTGCTGGGTCTTTCCTCCTGTCCGCTGCCTCTTAATTTATTCTCTTTTCACACCGCCACTTGCTCTCCGTTGCCCGAAACATCCATACGACGTGTCCGTGTGCGAGCCTCGCCCACAAGAGAAAGGACAACATATTGCCAAACGTGGTCAAACTGGAACTCTTAAAATGACCATCGGAAAGTTATAAGCCCTTGCCTACAGTGATGTTTTTGTTTAGGGCACACCGTGTTTGTAACCCCTCACATTAACACAACCTTCACTGCCCTACATGCTGGGGCCCACCGTTTAGAATCCCTCACATGAGAAAGTGGGAAGTTTGCATGTTATTGTAAGATCGGAGGGCGACTTCCACGGCGAGGGCGCGGAGGTGGCTATTGTAATGTGAGAGATTAGCATGTCAATGTAGGATCGCAGAGCCGTCGCCACGTCGAGGACACGAGCGACGGTGGCTGTGTTAGTGTGCGACATTTAACCTGTTCATGTAACATCACTTTAACATCACTAGCCCCGCCCACTTCGTTTGTGACCCATGGGCTACACCCATTTATAACCTTTAAAACAGCCTGCGTCAGCAGCTTTCTCCTCCTGATGACGATTGTTTGTGTTGCGATCGAAACGTCGTAGTTTTTTGTTAATTCTTTTTTTGTTCTACGTGACTTTACCGAAAGACCCAAAGAATATGAATTCCTGCAGTCACGAAGCTTTAAGTCAAGATTTAGACCATTGTTGGTTCTCCAAATAACAAATGTGAAAAACGTTCTCAATTAAATTTCAACAACAATTTCTTATTCTCTTGCTCCACAAGATGAATGCAGTTTCTCACTATGTCCCGATGTGATCATAAATACCTGCATTGATCTTGGATTAAAATGAGTAAATCATTGCTTTCATTTTTATTAAAATATACTACATTGATTTCTGATATTATTTTATTAATAAAATACATTAACATATTTGTTTACATATTTAAATTACCCATTGTTTCATACATCCGTTGAAATCCCTTCTACGGGCATGAACCACATATATCGATGCTGTTGCTGTATTTATTCTCAGAAAATTCATTTGAACACATGCTCTTGACAAACGACTTTCTTATTTTCAATTCATTTTTCTTGCAGGAATGCAGCTCTCTGCAGTTTATAGCCACATTTTTGCATGGAGATTTAATCAGTCTTTGCCAATGGAGGTTTGTGTTCCCCTCTCTCGGCATCTTTTATGCAAAATCATCTAAAAAAGAATTGAATCAGTGCACAGAGGCATGATGAGAGTGGTTCTGGAAGTTGACACTTTTTTCGTTGGGCGCCACTGTGGCAAGACGTTAATTACCTTGCCTGGTCGTGAGTTCTCCCCCGACCTGATTATGCCTGCGTGGACTTTTTTCCAGGTCCTCCGTTTTTTTCCCTCCACTTTTAGAAACATGCATTGAGGGTATTTGGTTGTGAAAAAAATTTCCATCTGATAAACCACTTCGTTGAGTTATCACTTGTGGCCAGGTCGCTTCTGAAAAATAGCTCAGTGGGCCTTACCTGGTAAAATAAAAATAAAAATAACTTAACTTAAGTTTGTGTCTCTGTGTTGTCTCTACCTGTGTTTCTGACTTTGTGTCTACGTGTATGTGTCTTGTCTCTCTCCACAGTCCCTGTGGGCATGTTCATCTGATTTTGTGCCCCTCCCCATAGTCTCCGCCCCCCCCTCTCCCTCTATTTAAGGCTTCGACACAGAAGCATTGTTTCACTGTGTCCCATGTGTGTGTGTCTCTCTCTCTGTGTGTCTCTGTGCTAACTCTCTCTCCTTAGATGTCAATATATGTGTCTGCGATCTGTACTCTATCACTCTTAACCTATAATTTAGCAATCTTTGAAATAACGTAATCAGCCAGGCAATGCGTTAATTGTGTTTTGACCGACCCTCTGTGTTGCATTATATTGTTTCCAAATTTCACTAAATCTTGTTCGATTTGATGTGCTTCTCCATCTCTCTTTGTCTCCCCTACATGCTAAGGCCTCGGCACAGAGACCCTATCTCTCTGTGCTCCATACGTTGTGTCTCTCTTTGTGTCTCTGTGTTAACTCCCTCTACTTAGGTGTCTGTATATATCTGCGGTTCTGTGTTTCCTCTCTCTCTTAAATTTAGCTCTTCTATGCCTGATGATGATTGCTTGCGTTGCAATCGAAACGTCGTATGCTATTATGTAATTTTATTATTTCTTATTTCTACGTGGCTTTACCGAAAAAAAAACAAAGGGTACAAAAAAAAGTTTTAGTTTTGTCATTGCAAGTGCCAAAATGCAGTAGTGGTAAAAGCATGCTCTCTCAAGTCACGTGGACGGTCGTAGACCTTGTTAGCCTTGGACTCCACCGTTTCCTCACAGCCACTTATGTTGAGCTAAATGCCTTCAATCCTCACTCCTGTTAATCTACACAAAGAAGGAATGTAATTCTCCGTGATAAATGTAACGTTTGCACATTTAGCACATGTACAAATCTGTCTGACTAGGCAAAGATGTTCGGAAGCATTCATGCACTTTTTTTTAAGTGCCTGCATGACAATCACTGCAGCATTACTTTCTGCTTTCCTGCTAAATGTGCACAGACTCGTTGAGTGAAAGGCGAAGCAAAACTGGCGACACATGTTTGCTATGCAATGTGAATTGACAATAGTGGCGCTGTATGTTTTGAGCACCTTTTTGTCGAAATAAAATTGCAAATATTAAAATAAATCTCTTATCAATCCAATGTGAGGATTGTAGACTGCGGAACACTATGTACAACTCCATGTGTGCGTGCTCGCAACAACAGCGCTCAAATGCTTTTTGGGTTCTCGGCCAATTTTTCTTGAAATATTTCAGGCCTTTTATCTCTCAATTTCCCCACCTTTCAAGTCAGAAGATGTGCAAATGAAGGAAGTGTGCCTGCCCTCTCAAGCTACTAGCTTGAAATTATTCTCACTTGACATTACTTCATTTCTCAAAGGTGAGAGGTTAGCTCCCTGTTAATGAGCCACCTGGAAAGGGCCTAAAGCTTTTTTTATTATTAAATTGATAGAGCCTAAATGCCGTTGTCTATATATGAGATAGCGGTTAAACAGCCTGAAAAAAACATCAAGAAAATATAAAGACCAACGTGCTTTGATACATTCCATCATTAGTTGAGTTTTATGTTTACTGCGGTTGAGGACATTTCAAATAATTAATGAGAGCAATGAAAAATACATGAGGGATCTATTTTAAAAAAGTTATCGTAATTGATAAGCTTTGTCTGAATGTTTTTCAGCAAGAAATAATAAATGAGAAAGTAATGCAAGCCTAATTATTGGCAGTCTCACCGGAAATGTTATTTAAAACAATGCAACATACTTATTCAACAACATAACTGTTATTGTTATCAAGCATGACATGCCAGCTTAAGTTTTAAAAACTGGTAACTTTGGTCCAAAAAAATGCAATCTTTCTTTGAGATTGATGTTGCTTTATTGGGCTGGAAAGACATACAAAACATTTGATTTTCACAGTTAAATTGGTTGTTACTGAAGTTACAGTAACTTCTAAATGTATTTAAAAAAAATTCGCTAACAACAAAAAAGCTATTGTACAGGGCTCATAGAGGGTTAGCATGTACTTAAAATTCGAGATAATTGTAAACATGTTTTCAAATCACCGCTGGAAGTTAGCGGCAGCATGTGGCAAGCCTGTGGAAACTGCTGCGATGCTGCGCAGCGACGTAGCTACACAAAGCATTGTGGGTATTTCAAGAGGAGTGGTGAATCAGTTTGTCGCGATCCGCCGGCCGGCGATGTGCAGTGAAGTTTCTGCTGAAGAAGTTGCTCAAACCAGCTGACATTTGTACGCACGTGTGTTTCAACGTCTTAGGCACCGTACGTAGCCAACCGCGTTCATCGGAGGACGCTGGCTGGTGCAACTTAGTGCGAGATTTCTCTCACGTGGAAGTGTACTCGGGTGGTGAATAAAAAATGGGTCACGAGTCTGTCTTTAAATAAAATAAAAAGTGGTCGCGATGTTAAAGCAGACGTCCCGAGTAATGACATTATTGTGACATTAAGGCGTTTGCTCTAACATTGATGGGACAATCGTGCACGCGCAGCCAGGGAATACCTTCAAAACTAGGGCAAGATACATTCCCTCCAGGTTACTTCCAAAATGTACCAGAACTAAAAGTGAAAGTTAACCTGCAATCACCCTCGTATATAGACGAAGAAATAAGTGAATTGAGTATTCTTAGCATGTAAGAATATCTATTCGTTCATGCTGGCACTAAATAAGATTGTTTTTTTGCGTTTCACGTGACTAAGCATTTGAATACTTAATCTAATTAAAAGTACAGTAATACCTCTGCTTGCGTCGGGGATGCGTTCCTGAACGGTGCGACGACGAATATCGAAACGAGGTAAATCCAAGCGATTTACAGGGTAGTAGTGGGTGGAGGCGAAGGCTGAGAGGCGAGGGACAATGAGAATGGGTGGACGATGCTGTCAGCGACGTAAGTGTGGGGCTTGAGGCGACGCTACTTAGGTAGCAATCTTGATTTTGAAGCTTTCGTGACTGCAGGAATCCACACTCTTTGGTTCTTTCCGTAAAGTCATGTGGGTCTCAAATAAATCACGACGTTTCGGGCGCAACACAAGCGTCCATCATCAGGTGAGAAAGCATGTTAATAAAGTGACGACGTATTTGCGAAACGAATGAAAAGGGGTGGGGAGGGAGGGGGGGGGAGATGTAAATCGTGGTATTGCTGTAACAACAACACAACCTTTATAAACGCACATTTAATTTGGCACATTGTTTTGCAATTGTGGTGCCACGTTGTGATTTCGTTGCCCTCAGTAACATGTGCAAGCAATCGCCACAAGGTCACAAATCACATAATTGGCGAGCCCATTCCAACTCAACAGCATTGTGTGCATGCTTGTAGTTAGGGCACTTGAATCGTCATTACAGAGTCGAGAGTTCAAATCTCAGTTGAGGATTCTCTCAGCCCATCTGTCCCACGCAGACCACATCCATGTAGTACTTTGAACTTCTTTCGCACAGTACGTAGCCAACCGTGATAATCGGAGGTGCGGATCCTGCCCATCGCACCTTCTGATCGATCCCACAGCTGTTGCAAAGTTGACACCCGTCCTCCAAAACTCACCCTGAAATACAATATTCTACCATGTGGTTAGAGGCGTTCTCCTTGGGGTCTGACTTACTGATGTCCATTCCGATATCTGGCTCAGTATGGCAACCACCTCTTCGTATCGAATCTAGGATTTTGTCATAGCGCTATACAAGAATTATTAATTGTACATTAGTATTGCCTGATGGATGGGGAAAAGGGATGGGTCTTCTTTGGTTCTTTCGGTAAAGTCACGTAGAATGAGAATAAAATAATAAATTGATAAAATAAAATAACACAATAATATTCTCACGACGTTTCGGCCACAACACAAGCGGCCTTCATCAGGTGAAGGGGGCGAGACTGTCTGGTAGGACAGCGCTGGAG